ATTTCAAGCTGATAGTTATCTTTGCTTCCCCAGGAACCAAGTAGGGTAGGGAAGGACAGTATTTTCAAGAGGGTTGAAACTGCCTACTAATTTCAAACACTGTATAATTTAATTGTTCAAACCCAATCTTCTCCACAGCCCCCACAAAGTAAAATAAATAATTAAGAAAATATCTCTGAGGGCTTTGCTAAGTTTGGGGATTAAAAAGAGAAAAATCCAACCCCTCTGTCTAATGACTCTACTGAAAGAGTTTCATAGCACTACTGAAGCCTTTAAAGTTCCCAGTTAAATGCCAATTTCATCTTTGGAAGGTCCCTGTGTCTTTTTAGAAGGCATACATTTAGAACTTGTTTGGCTGGATATTCTGTGTTCATTCTTGGCAAAGTGTGTGACTCAGTGTTTCACATGAGATATTGCATAGTACTTATAGAAAATACTTTTTATTTTCAGTCCTCTTCTTAAATTCTTAAAAATAATTTCAAAAAATTAGGGCCAGTATGGTGCTTCAAGCCTGTAATCCCAGGTCTTTGGGAAGCCCAGTGAGGAGGATCACTTGAAGGGCAGGAGTTTGAAACCAGCCTGGGCAACACAGTGAGACATTAGTCAGACATGGCCCTACATCTATAATCCTAGCTACTTGGGAGGCTAAGGAGGGGGTATCGCTTTAGCCCAGGAGTTCAAGGCTACAGTAAGCTATGATTGTGCCACTTCACTCCAGCCTGGAGAGCAACACCCTGTCTCAAAAAATAATTATTATTTTATTATTTTTACAAATTACATTATATGAAACTATTTTCTAAAGTCTCTGGTATTGCTGAGTCTGAAAGTAAGCAACTAAATTAGAAAGAATTTTAGAACAATATTCTCATAACAAATACTGAGTTACACTGAAGTCTAGAATCTCACATACTGCAACAAAGTTAACATTATTCTCACTGTCCTGGGGAAGTCAATCCCTGGACATGAGTCCCTGAGGCCTGAAGCAAGTCCACCCTACAAGGCTACCACATGCCAGGAGATGTGGGCATTATTCACTCTTGAAAACCCTGCCATTTCAGATTTTATCTCAATTATAATATACCACACACTTACTTTTGTGTGTGTCCACATGCATACACACAGGTCTTAAACAGGTCTTCTGGAATTTTACAAACCTATTTCCAAAATGTGACATTTTATATCTACGAAAACCCTCGTTTAAAAGGCTATTTCATACCAATGAGAAATACGCATATAAGCTGTGTTTCTGATCGTCCCTGTTTCCATGGAAGTTCTGAGTGGAGGGTTCTGGATGAATCCTACATTATGAATTATTTTCTAAGTATTAGTCTGTGTGTGTTTGTTAAGACTGTAAGTTCTCTGAGGGCAAGGCCCATGCCATGCCCATCCCTGCATCTTTTCACACAAAGTACATAACAAGTACTTGGCACTAGTAAAGGCTGAAAGAATGTTTGCACAGTGAATAAGAAACAAGCAAAACAATAAATTAACCTATTAGCACATTCATTGATTAGGCACCTGTTTTTAGTTTATTGCTTAGAACAATGACATTAGTTGATAACTCTAACAGTAACAATTGCTATTACAGTATGGCAGGAAGAGCTTCTCTCTAGCAGTGTAAAGACCAAGACTGTAGTTGTAGCTCTGCATCTATTAACTGTCTGTCTTTAGCAAGAAACTTTCAACAAGCATGCAAATACAGAGTTTAGTTTTAAAAAATATACTGAAACATGCATCTGTGGAAAATTTTTACCTGTCACATTTTCAGTATCAGATCAGTAGATAGAACTAACTTGATTTTTATAAAGCTTACTTTACAATAAAAATGTTGCTTTTGGAAATTGGGTGCATTATACCATTATACTCTTCTGAATGCTGTAACTTGAAGATCGTAATGCAGTAGCTCATGTAAATCTACCAGCTACCATTTCTGTTTAAATATGCTGGTCTAGAGAGATTTATAATCCTAATAAACCTTTAGTTATGAATATCTTAGGTATAGATTAGAACTGTGATAATTGACTGATTCACACTCTTCAGAATCAGCAAAGCAATTTTGGATGATTCATTTATCTCCTAATATTCATGAATTTAGAAATGAGAATCAGTTGTTACCATAGATATTTCCTCATCTTTCTGAATCCAGAAAATGCCTTCAATGACCATCTGAGCATCTTCTTCCATTAACAGAAAGGGATAAAATGAATGGTGAAAGTCACAATTTCTATTTTTAATGCTATAAAAGCTGCTGCCCAACTGTGATAATAAAAATCCAGGTAATTAATGACTTTCAGAATTTCCACTCTTCAGCAGCATATTGCTATTCTTTAATATTTCAGTCTGCATTTATTTAGAAGAGAACTCCAACCTAAGAGAACATGTTCAGGCATAAAAGCAAATATACTTAAAAGCTAACCAGCCAAGACCCAAATTCTGGCCTTCTATAGACATCACTGAGGGAAAAAATAATCTTATAATTAGTAACAAGGAACAGCATAACGATGCAGTGCTTAGCATGAGTCTCATCAGGGAAACAGAAAATGCTTTTAACACTCTATGTTCAGTTCGAACACGGTATTTTAACAATGCTTAGTTATACCTCAAATATGCCTATATATGACAGTATCATGACAGTTAAGGTGCATTTCCAGTCACATTTGATGTAAAAAGACAAAATTTCTCATTAAGGAGAGGTATTCTTTGTGGAAAATTTAAATTTAAATCTTTCAATTTAAAGCCCTAAACATATTCCTCATAGGAAAAAATCTGTATACTTCTTCAGAGAGGTTTCAATGTAAGCGGCAAGACAACGTTAAATTTGGCTCTTGAGAAAAACAGAGGAGCAGTGCACAGAAGACCCTCACATTAATGGCCCTGCGTATTCCCTGTGGGCTGTGCCAACCCACTCTCTCCCCAGTAATGACTCTTTGTTTTTACAAAGTCCCAAAGGGCTAGGGAGAGCTCTGCAAAAAGAAGAGGGGGAGGGGTGGATGGAATGCAGCTGCAGGCTCTAAAACAATGCTGAGTCCATATATTTTGTTCCCAGTTAGAATAATGAAAAGAGTGGGGGTTTGAGGAACAGACTCAGAATAAGCAAGGTAGGATCAAACATCTCATAGCTCTCAATCTATGGTACCTCCACTCCTCATCTACTCTATCAAATCCAATCACCATTCGCCTGGGTTAAAAAGCTTATCTGTTAAAATTCAAACATCCATTAAGATTTAAACCTGTCAGTTATTTATATCTAAATTGCTTTCATCAGTGAAGTATATCAAGGCAAGGCATACAGTAGAAAGAGAAAGTGGAGCAGACAAAGATAAACTGAGGGCATTTGGACACATGGGACAGGAAAGGTACAGGGGGACATAGGTAGGAAGATTTAGAAAAGGTGGCCCAAGGTTTCAAATATAAACTGCCCATTTTGCAGTGGGGCTTAGGTCTCAGGGGCAACTAGTATGCTAGAAAAAACCATTACTCCCTCCCGAACTGCTAACAGCTGCAAGGGTCAGAAAGAAGGGAAGCTTGCACATATTGGTGTCCCCTAATTTAGGGTTTCAGCATACCTTGATGCCTCCTTAGAAAACATCCTTTACTTGCATTTCCCAGGGGAAAGAATTAAGAGAAGCATCAGCCCTAGAACCCTACTACTCCCAGTAAGAGAAAAGCAGCTCAAACCTTATTCTCTTTCTCTAGCCCTCTTCTCCCAAGATAATCCTTTAGTCGAAATCCATGGAGCCATCCAGGACTGGTAGAATCAGGCCTGCCCATGGCACATCTCTTCAGATATTATTGATGCCACTAAAATTTGCAGGAAAACTCAAGAAGCCTTAAATAAACACCTGAACTAAGCCCTCTAATAGAAAATCAGCATGTGCTAATGACTACCTAAAAAGCTATACTACAAAATTCAGAAGAATACTTATTCCAATTAGAATCCCATTGATGAACACTTAGTCACTGAAGAGGAAAAACAGGACTTCATTGTAAAGCTGTCATGTAGAAGCAAAACTCTGACATCCACACAAACATCTCCTTCAAGTAAGCATTATGCAACACATTTAGAAGTACTCTAGGTCTGTGTTGAATGATGTAATTAATCTGACTCTTGAACTGTTTTCAAGTTATAAAGTTTAGAAAACTATTTATTTACATGGACACTTTTGCATTTTGTGACATAACAAAAATTCACAAGTATGCAGATTTACAAATAATCAAGAACATAATCTTCCTCCTTCAGCTTATGTTTTCTCTATAGCTCTAAAAACGCACTTACAGATATTACTAATTTCCATACTATATCTAATATATAGGGGCAAATATAGAAGTACATATTAATTTAAATGAGGAAGCAAAAAGAATAATTGACTTTTATTACTATTAAATATTAATAGTGATAATTTAAAAGTACTGATTCTACTCCTATAAACTTTATCATCTATCATAAAGACAAAATTCATAGGTCCATTTTATTAGGCATTATCATTTATTACGCTTTTAAATGCAGTAATAAAATAGACACGGAAAATTTTGTTTATTCTGTATATACGAAGAACTCAATGTCTACTTACATATTTCATTTCCTAGTACATACAACTTAAAAAAGTATACACACAGCAAAGTATTAATAGTAAAAGCAATCACAATCATAACTTGTTTGAAATAAATAATCCCTTATGGATGTTAAGCTGTGATAAAACATACTCACATACTACCCTGATGTATGTTATACTTTAATAAAAAGGTTCACACATGCAATTATCCATGATATGGATAAAAAACACTTTCAGTATCAATAACCATATATGAATTTTTAAAAAGTAGATTAATAAAGGAAGATAATTCAAGCATCTTAAAGATGTCAGAAATTTTCATTTAGTTACAAAGTTCACAGAATGAATGACTGATTATATTAAAAGGGTCAAGTGAAAACAAATTTTAAAAGCTGAATGGCATGCAAGAACATTAGATTTATGTATTAAATCAGTAAGAGTACTCACCCCGTGGAGTCCTTGGAACTGAATTGAAGGTCGAAAAGGAATTAAATTCTATTAAAAGAAACAAAAGAAACAAACAGGTAAACCTTGGTTACTGTGACATAGAACTTAATGTTTAAACTTTAAATCTACATTATTTTGGCCAGAAACAGTGGCTTATGTCTCTAATCCCAGCACTTTGGGAGGCTGAGGCAGGAGGATCACTTGAGGCCAAGAGTTCAAAACCAGCCTGGGCAACACAGTGAGATGACAATCTCTATTTAAAAATAAATAAATAAAGAGGGAAAGAAGAGGAAAAAAATATATGTATTCGGTCAGTGTCATACTGAGTGAAAATCTCTTTTCATTATATACTTTCTTTCTAATTAAGATATGGATGAACAATATCACACTATTTACATTTCTCTGAACCACACAACCAAAAGATATTTTTTGGCAGAGCAGCTAATCATGTTTTTGAAACTGACTGACATGATTTGGAAAAAAATGATTAGTGTACCAATTCAATTTTACATTAAAAAAACTGTATTGTTGCATAGTTTCCTGGTGTATTTTTAATAGGGGTGGGAAGAGGGAAGAGATAATTGGAGGAACTTTGCAATACTGTAACAGGATGCTAGAAACATAAAATTAAATATTTGAGAATAAATCAGTTTTCCATTTTCTCACATTTTATCAGAGATTCGTTTTTAATTGAGAGCCAAATACATTACCAGTTCTCTCATACGATTCTCACTAGGAAAATGTAATTTCTAGACCAGTATTTTTTTATTATGAGCTTTGTCTTCTTGATAACTTCAATATTTTATCACAGAGTTGTGCATTTGGAAGAAAAGCTGTTAGTGTAAATGTCAGCCATAGTCTTTTGCATGATTTCCTGCATTCAAAGTCAACAGCATATTTTTCTATGGGAAAGCTTTCCCAAATTGCCAAAAGAAACCCATGAAGAAATCAGATTTGGGTAATGTTTAATGGCAGTACATCAGCCTGTAAACTATTCACATTCAAATCCAATGTACAAAAACAGTGGATTCTGGTCTCATCTCTACCCCAGATAAAAATAGAGGCACTAATATGTTCCTCACCTCATCATCTACTACTTCCAATACTTCCCAAAACTTCTCTGCAGACTTAAAAGTTTACTAATAGGGATTATAATAAATGAAAGAGAAAGAGAACTAAAGGTAAATACTTCTTTAAAAGACAGACCACCTAAATGTAAAATCAAGTGTAACATTAGCCATCTTATTATTTATAAAAATGAATAAACAAATATCTTCTTGGAGAAAACATTACAATGGATACTGTTATCACTGTTCTACTACCATAAAAACATCATTTAACTATAGACTTACCAGAAGAATCTAAGTACTACTGGCTGACATTCATTTATTGGTGTGGGAGAAGTGAGCTTTTTAAAAAAGGAAAAATAAAAAGGAAGTGTTTGAATTTTTAAAAGCTAATTTTTTAGTAGATTTTAATCCTAATTCACAGCCTTTTATGAAAATATAAATAAAGATTAATGTTCTTAAGGTGAAAAACCCCACCCCCAAACTACTTTCCACAGCTAAACTCAGTCTTTCTGAAGTAATGAAAGCATGCCCACAGGAGTATGGGGAGCCCCTTTTCATGTGGAAGAGTAAGGTGGCCCTACAACTGAGATTATACAGCTTCAGGTTCCAGCTTTCACAGTATTTTCATCAGCCCTGCTTTCTGAATGTCCCTCCAAATCAGAAGCACGGAACATAGCCTCAGAGGCTCATTACACCTCCCTCCTTGAATCCTGGCAACTCAGAGGTTGTCTTCAGTTTAACATTGAAATTTGAAATGCTCTATTAAGTTCATTGATTCTTCTTGGTCCGATAAATGCAAACTTCTTCTCAGTTTTCAAATTGCTGATATCCCCAACGGATATTACCTCTTTATTGCACTTAGAGACACCAGTCTTCCTAGCTCTCTGATCACACCTTTCATTTTAAAAGGCTAGTGCCTTTCCTTTCCTCTTTCTAGATCCACTTCATTCTGGAGGCTCACTGTACCTGTTGCGTGATAATTCTGAATCTCTTCTCCATTCCTCAGCTAGTACCTCTCCATAGTTTGCTATTTACTACTGCCAGCAGGACATTTTGCATTAGAAACTCACAATGGCAGCAAATCTCAATGACACTAATTCCTCTGTCCCCAGCCTTCCCAACTAAACTGTCACCTCTTCCCTACTATTCTGGCAATGGCACTTCTAGCCTCTTGGTTCTCCAGGCTTACCACCTTAAAAGTAATTTATAGTCTCTTCTCTCCCTAACTTCGTATTCTACTAGTTATTTACACACTACATGCCACTAGAATCACAGGATTCCAAATCCAGACGAGGCCTTAGAGATAAGACAGTTGGTGCCTATCCCCCACAGGACTAGAACTCAAAACTCAATCTCCCTGTTTTGCCATGCTGCTTTTCTTCTACTACCTTGTATTTCACACACATCTTCTATGGGGTATTCAAGAGTGTGGGGCCTAATCCCTCATGCCAGAGTTCATCTTTTAGCTGGAGGAAATTTGAGAATGATTAAACACTAGGCTAAGTAGCACTAGGATATGTGGTAAGAATTCTCAAAAAGGAGAGTATGAGTTAGAATAAATAAGTGTTTATGGAAAAGGTGGCTCTTAAATAGCAGTTTAGTAAAGGTAAGTTCCAAGAAGAGAAAATACCCTGAGGAAAAAAGCTAGGAGTTAAGAATGGACACTGTATAATCAGAGGGCAGGCTTCTTTCCCACTTGAAATACAATAGCAAGGATAAGATCTGACCTGCAAATTACTGCCTAATTTTTATCCTCAAAATGTGTCTTCATTTTTAGTTTCTATTTGCTACAGAATAAATAGAGCAATAATTTAAATTTCAGACCTCAGGATGACTGTTCAAAAAGTTTATCACTCTGAAATAATCCTGCCCTAATCCCCTCTGTACCCGCTCCCTGGTGGGTTTTACTGTTGCCTTTAACTTGAAAAACAACTGGAGGCTCTCTCAATTTTTTGAGTAAGAAAGTGAGTTGCTTAATAAATGTTTTAGGGGAAGGCAGCTCTTTCAGTCATGAATAATATAGATGGAGAGAGATGGATCAGGGCAGGGCAGAGCTGGAGAAATGAGCTAGTGCACAGCTCTAGGGGGATGCTTTAGAAATATTCTGGAAATGGTAATAAAGGCCTAAATTAATATGACTGCATCTGCAACTAACAGGGGATGGTGGACATAGCAGATACTCCCAAGGAAAAATGATAAGATGTGTTGAAAGTGTGAACATCAAACACCAAAGAAAAATGATGCCAAGGTGACTAAGGGCTCCCAGTCACCAGCTCTAGCCACTCTGCCCCAAACTCCATCAAATTAAGTTCTTAGTCTCTGTTTGGAAAGCAAGATCCTCATCATCTCACAACTAGATAATGGCTTTCTCCCTTCCTTGAAGTCCTTCCAAATTGTTTAATTAGCTAGCAGAACTTCTCTCACATACCACTCTTGGCCCACAGTAGTTCTTACCACTGTCTGTCAAAACAAGTCAGCTACTAAATAGAAAACACATCTGCTATCAACCAAGATCAACCAGAATCAACCAAGTTATCTTCCACTTCCTCCCAACAATAGCTCAGCTTTGTTAACATTTGTTTGTTTTGTAAAGACTTTCCTGTCTAACTCCTTCCTGTTCTTCCAACCTGGCATAAATTCCCAAACTCTACTTTGCCAATCCATACTTATTGCTTACTTAACATTCAAGCTCAAAATTAGTTTCCTCCGTGAGACCTTCCTTTGGATAAACCAGGAGTCAAAGACTCAATGTTTTAATGTCTTTGAAACCCAAAGGTCTCTGGAACAGATGGATGTAAGGCAACAAGGAGTAGTGAGTACCTGGAGAATGAATGCCCAAAGGAAAAAATCCAAATTTAAAAATGTTAAACCTGTTTCTAGCCAAACAAAACTCTGGTGCTACCATTTTGCTAACTTGGAACTATGTAACTATGAGTTAAATCTCATTAGCTGTTTGTCCAAATGCCAGCATCTAACTGTTCCATTACATTGGGCATATTTTTTCACAGGTTGTCTTACTTCTGATTGTTATGATACAGGAGTCTTAGGCATATGTAACTTACAAGCATTTATGTTGTGCTTAGCAAAATTTAAAAAAAGATTGTAAAATCGTTTTCTATATGTTCTCTTTATATATGAAGTATACCACTATACATATTGTACACTTCTGCATATTACCGTTCAGGGTTGTACAGACAAGACAGTATGTACTATTCTTTATGTCAGTTTAGAAACTTGCAAGAGTAATTTTGACTGTATACAATTTTCTTACTTCATGCCCTGAATTAAGACACTGACTTCTTGACATCCTTATAGTTCTATCTATACTGCTTGATTCCTCAACAAGAATAATTTTTATTTACATAGTTTTCTAATGTATGGCACAGAGCATTTTTATATCTATTGTCTCAAGTGAGCCTCCTAAAAGCAGCCCTGGGTGGTAGGAAAAAACATTATCTTCCATTTCAGAGACAGAGGTAGAGTACATTGTTCGAGATCACAGAGCTGGATTAGCAGATTCGGGCCTTAAATTCACTTCTCTGAATTCCAAGTACAGTACTCTTTCTCTTGCCTCTGAAATGGGTTACCCCCTAGTGCTCAACATTTAAAAGACCTTAAATGTTTACTCAGTTCTTCTGGCATTTTGTTTCCAAGGAAAATAAATTTCATGAAGTAATTACAATTTCCAAAAAATTAAAATTTACCAAAAACGGAATTATAATTAGTTCAGTTTCTCATGGACTAAAAACTTAAAAAATTAGTTTTTTTTCCTTTAAGAACCTAGTGAAAGTACATAAATATTTGTTATCATTTTATTTAATAAATAATAAAACCCTCATTATGGAATAGTTGTATGCACCTATCCAAACAGGGCAAATTCCAAATACAGTACTCTTTCTTCCTCTTGCCTTGGAAATGGGTTACCCCCTAGTGCTAAACATTTAAAAGACCTTAAATGTCCACTCCATTCTTTTGGCA